CGCCAAAACTCATAAGATCTGATATAACAACTTCGTATAAGGTTTTGAAAGAAAAATCTGTGCATTAAAATCTCTATTTCATACTATATATGACATTTTCATGGTTACAATGGAACTGTATTCTTGATAGTCAGGTAACAGATTGTCAAAGAAATGCCGACTTCGGAAGGAGATGTCTAAACAAATTAGCAGTCTATTACAACCGAGAATATATGTGGCTATACGCGATATATTTTAAGAAACTTTATGAAATCTAGGGCTCATAAATCCCACGTTGACAAATTCTATCAGTAATCGAGGACAGTTTTTTCTGAGGTTGCCTAGGGAATGGCGATGGCCATTTGAATGAGAGAAGGCCTTAATAACAAGATCAATAACAAGTTGTGATATACCAACCTCCTGTCCAGAAATTTCAGAGCTCAAACTACTCTCACCATTGACATCCCATACAAAACCTCTGTGACGACGCATCGACATAGTCCAAAACACTATAGACGAAAGAGAGATAGCAGAACAGGTAACCCGCTGTGCAGTGGTTAGCTTACGCCTTCGGAAAGAGTGAGACACAGGCTCAACTCCAGTTGGGAGTTCAAAGCTTTGCATATCATCCAACATTACTGGATACTTTAGATGATGAACTGAATTCAGCACATGCACGTATCCGTCAAAAACACCCAGGTCATTCTATATCAACTTATGGTGCTTTTTTGCCCATAGCGAACGCTAACAACTGAAGCGACAAATTATGAGCTTTATGATCCAACCACGATGACTTTTTAGACAGCCAAATTTTTTGTGGAAAACGGGGTCGCATAGTAGTTAGCGATGTAGAGCATCAGAAAACGAGGTAATAATGAGCTATGCGCTGGTTCAGTCCTCTCCACAACATTCTCTTGTAATCAGCTATCAAACGCCTGAGCTCGGCTGCCTCTAAGATCGCAAGGAGAGTTCTGGCAACCAATAATCCCCGCCGTTTGTGAAGGAGACGGGCGAAACAACACGTAAAATATACGAAGCCTCGATGGGGGATAAACGTGCAGACACAAATTGAGTGCTAAAGGCCTTAAGAACAGCACAATGATTTGCGACACGGCTCGTTTTGACGTCAGGCGCGATTCAAACCCACATTTCACTTTTTCCAAGGGCGCATGCTAACCAATTGCGCTAGCGACGCTTGTTTTCATACCACCGTAAAAGCGGTTAGACAAGAAAAACATTTACCTTTTTCGCTCCGAGAAGACTCAAATTTCGTGCAAGAAAAGCGAAAAGCAAGCAAAATTTCGGCCAATAAATGTTCCCAAATGTGTCGCCACTATAGGTGCTTCCAATGTGAACGCCACATTAATACCTCTTGTAGACTTTTTGGCTCGAAAATTCTAGAACAAGATTGCTAACTTAGACTTATCACGCACAAATTTTCAGAAATGGTGCAAAGTGTCTCTCTGAGTTGGCAAGAGATTTTCAGGACTTTTTCATTTTTATAGATTACTTTTCATGCATTTAAGTTTTTACCTTCACTGCCGTATAGAGCAGCTTTTTACGGTAATTTTGATATATAGCACTTATACATTTGTTTTAAGATGAGATTGTTCCGAGAGTAAAAACGACTGTTGATGCTACACGAGTATCGCTGCTTCCCAAAGCAGCACTTGATCCCAAGCGATACTCGTACAGCACTGACAATGGTTTTTACTTTCGGGACGACTTCATCTTGAAACAAATGTATATTTGTTATATATCAAAATAACCACAAGGAGCTGCTCTAAACGGTAGTGAGAACAAAAACTTAAATGCATGGAAAAATAAACAACAAAAACAAAAAAGCTCGGAAAATTTCTTGCCCAACCCATTACGTGAGTCTACCAAACCATCAAATCTTCAATTACTTCGCTTATCGAAGGATCATGGAAAATCAAGAATTATCGGAAGGCCAGCACTCGTCGCCAATCGATTAGTGAAGAATAAAAAAAAGGATTTCTCACGTCAGACTCCTGTTTCATATCAATAAGGTAAAGGATCTCAACAGTCGGTGATTCTTCGAGAGAAAAACAACCAAATTTTCAGATAAGAAACCGCCAAACTCGGACAGATAGCGTAGAAATTACAACTGGTTCTGACGCTCAGTTATTAAATGTGTGTTTCTGAATTCGATAGCTGAATCAAAATTGAAAAATGGGAAAATAAGAAGAAGATCTGACTCAAACCGTTCCTAGATCGATCAATGATTCGACTTGAACGACATCGACGACGAAGATCCACAACGAAGGCGAACGACCATGGGGGACAATCGACTCAAATCATCGGCTCTGAAGAAAACGAACATGCGAAATAAGAGTTATAGCAGAACAAGAACTCGCTAGAGCAACTGTTAGCACGCGTCCAAGTGAAGGGTGAGGCCCGGGTTCGATCCCCGCTCAAGGCTCTGCATTTTGTGCATCACTCAGCTTCAAAACGTAACTTTAATTTTCGCCTTCGTTTGAGGTGACTAAACGCATATGTGGCCTTTACAACGACTCGCCGCCGCCTCACGCTGTCTGCTTATACTCTCAGATACGCGTGCTACCAGTGGGGTAACAATCTACCGAAACAGGTGGGACGGATGGCTTAGTCAGTCATGAGCTCGAGATCGAACCATCGACTTTAGCGCGACGCAGACCACCTCTAACCACTGAGCCACATGTGCTCCACTCAACATTATCGAATATATGCTTGTAAGATCAAATCACTTCTAAAAGAACGGTAAAATAGAAAGATTTCTTGTTGAAACGAAAACGTCGAGACCAAATTTGTCGACTCAATCTCATTTATCAACCTCGTGCTATTACCTGGATCATAAAAGAATCTATTAAGGAGACGTGGATTTTCAAATAAAGAGCAATTTTGGACTGGTAGAAAACCAGCAAAGAGAGCTACTGATACGAGATTTTCCAAGATGGAAATTGAAGAAGCGGCTAGAGAAATCGATCAATAAATCAATAAGTGGACGGTCTGTGGAAACGCGCGCTACCATTTTGAATAAGAGGAGGTCAGCAGGCATTGTTCCGTCTACTTCCGAAATTCTGTCGGCCTCTTCTTATTCGAAAGATGATTTGCACGCCTACGTTTCCCGCCTACTTCTATGATCTACCCAATGACGCCATACTTCAGAGGAACGATGACCTACTGGGCAGAAAAAAACGGTACTTGGGAGCAACACCAGTAGTACTGCTTTCCGCCACCGAACAGCTAAGCAGGTAAGGAAGTCAAGGGATACGCGCCGCGATCGATATCCATTTTCGCATTGGAGCGCGGCAGTGTTGCGAGGAACCGATGAGCCGCTGCGAAATCATGCTGTCAACGTTATTCACGTGTTACGGTGTCGTGACAGTTCCAATGCCTTGTATTGTCGATGGAATGATGGTAGAACAGGAGCCCAGGTGGTGTAGTGGTTAGCACAGGCACACGCAAAAGGTGAGACCCGAGTTCAACTCCTGCCCCCCGAAGTTCACGCTATAATACTAATGACCAAGAATAAAGCTCGGCGTTGATCAATCCCATAAGGACTCGCCATGCACTCGACTTCATCAAGCATCGTTGGAGGTGACTGGATCCATATTTCACCTTTACAATGTCTCGCGGTTCCTCACCGATGTAGTAAGTCAGCGCTGCTTGTCCTCTTAGAAAGACAAATCTGGTCTTAATTCACCACTCCGGGAGGGGGGGAGGGTGGAAGGAATCGATCCATCAATTACGTGTGTAACCGGAGCATCTCTAACCACTACGCCATACGCGTCCTCAAATTTTGCATATCAGTCAACATTCTTGGACGTTCTACGCGCCTGCTGCACTGCACTTGGAATGATTGTTGTCAAAGACGGACCCACGCAATCATAGTTGAGAATCGGTTCTTATATGTTAGTCGGCAATGAACGAATATTCGAATTCATTCGCTGCACAGGAATTCTTCATAGGAGTCTTAGTAACCATTTGGAAGCTAAAATCTCTCGCTAGAGCCGTACGTGGCCGGTTTTCGAAAAACCTTTTTATAACAGTGTAGCATTCAAAGTAAAATTATGTTTAACACCCTCGGCGCGCTTAGTTTTTCTCTTGCGCATAATTCGCTGAAGGCACATCAAGCATATAAATAGGTAGAGAAAGTAATCGACTTCCTGAGATATCCGTTCAAGGCAATATAATCTGATAACATGTTTTTCGAGCCTTTCATTAGATCTGTTATGACACTTATACAGAACAGGACACGTGTTTCGGCCTCACAGCCTCATTAGTTGCACGGTGCCTTTCGGTTCAGTCAGTTTCTTGGATATACATCCTCTATTGTAGAGGAATCGACGCCAAACTGTTTACACTCAGCGTACAGTGAAGATCACTATGGCGTTCTTTCAAAGTAACTGATTTTCGGATGCATGGCTTACGGCTGTCAAAGAGCATATGAAGCATATGATTGTTTTGCTTTAGACAGTCTTTGCCTTATTAAATATTCGTTTTAGGCATTAATATCGTATTACTGCATAATGTCGATCGCTCTACTGGAGGAGACGGAATGTGTTTGAGTTCAGGCACTAGATAGCAGATCTCTTGAAAGACATGTAAGGATGATTACATAGGCGTAACGGTGAGACCACTTTATATTCGCATAAGAAAACACCTAGACGGGGAGATGAAATGCCGAACAAGTCTTCTATTAGGTGCGCATGGGGCGGAAAGGTCAATGGTGAGGACTCTGAGGTGATTGTAATATGCCTGGGGCATGCATCTAAAATAAACTTTGAAGTGGCTAGAGGTGCTTTGTTTTGCATAGAAGGTTGATGGTTCTATCTCGAGTTCATAGCTTACCAAGCCTTTCATCCTTACGGGGTCGGCAGATTGGTGTGATATTCTACTCGGAGGATAAGATAAGCCGCCTTGACTCAAACATCAGTAGGCCTCTGCGCGTCATTGTAAAGACCAAATATTTATTCAAACGCTTCAAATGAAGAGAATTGAGTGGTGAGCAAAAACACGGCCTCAGGCGGGAAGCGAACCCACGTTTCATCCTATCCGGGGATGCGTGCTCTACCACTACACCCACTGAGGCACATTTGCCCAACCACACATTCTTCAACATCTCTATGTTAGCTATCAGCCACCAAACTTTAACTGGTTTGGTCGGGTATGCGATTTCGCTTTATAAATCCCGTTAAGCTGACAGCCACTGTTATATCTAATACTTCGAAATTATAGTATTTCTACTGCTTTTTTCGCAGTGTTATGATGTTACTTATATAACTAAGAGAATTGAGTGGTGAGCAAAAACACGGCCTCAGTTGAAGGTTGGTGGCTGATAGCTAACATAGAGATGTTGAAGAATGAGTGGTCGGGCAAATGTGCCTCAGTGGTGTAGTGGTAGGGCACGCGTCCCCGGATAGGATGAAACGTGGGTTCGATTCCCGCCTGAGGCCGTGTCTTTGCTCACCACTCAATTCTCTTAGTTATATAAGTAACATCATAACACTGCGAAAAAAGCAGTAGAAATACTAAAATTTCGAAGTATTAGATATAACAGTGGCTGTCAGTTCAAGCGAAATTAAAAATTGAAGGTGAATGCATGGCAGATTCCTCGGGGTTTGACCAGCACCGCGACCTTTATCCTTTGCCCTTTATAGCATTTCATCTCAATTCAATTTCCAGTTTGTGCGTTGTGTGTTGCAGATGGTGTTCGTCTTTTTGGGTTATCTCAGAGATCACAAATTGAATCTATTGGCGTTAAGTCACGATGGTAGACAATCTGTTTAACACTGATAAATTCCTCTATTATAGTCCCAATGGAGAAGGTGAAAAAGTGCGGTACGTTGTGGAACGTCAGTATGTTGCGTCGAAAAGCCCGATGAATGCGCACCAGAGAAAGAGAAGCAACAGGTTGCGGACGACATGGAATTTCTCCGTTCAAAAGGTGTCTTTTTCTCACCAGTACTTTCTTTTTTTCTTCCATTCTTCCCGAGAAGCGATCAGCTAAGAAATTATCTCAGAAAGCCATTCACCGCATCTTTATTGAGGAATCTATTGAAGGTATGTACTGAAACGTAGCTCAGGATACAAAATGTTGAAAGTTTCGATGAAATATTTCATCACAACCATTTTGCTTATCCATCCAGTGAATTTGGCGCGAATCCACGAACTTACTTCGACTCTCTAAACCAACAGACCTCTTTCATTGTTTCTATGACCGAAATTGGGAAAGTGGCTGGATTCAAGAGAATAAATATACAGTAAAAGAGGGTCCGCTGTGGGAATGAGAAGCTTCCTAGATAGAAAGATTCATTGCTTCTGACTTAAGAAAAAAGTTTTTAGGATGCCCCAGTTGAGATTTGCATATCATCTCTTTGTTCCGAATACTATGACAGGAGACAGATATGCATATCTGTAGGTAGACTCCTATACTCGCTGATTATGCAATGCATGACTGGTTAGACAGGATATACAAGATCAGACTCAGACCTCTAAGCGACTTCATCAGTAAGCCTGCCGCCGAAGTCTAAAATATAGATATTTACTGACGAATCCCTTATGTCGTTTGAGGAAAATATCGGTTTCCACCACTATTTCCATGTGGGAGGATATCGCTGGAGGAAAAAACGCATCACAATACCGCTATATGGAACATTAAAAGTCTTCCTCAAGCTAAGAACGTAGTGAACGGAATGACTCTTCATATTGACACTGCTAAGAAGAAAAGGGAAAAATTAGCAGTTCCTTTGTAAATTTTCAGGTGCATCTATTTTATCGATTGCTTCAATGACTCCTTTCTTTTTAACCAAGCTCAGAATTAAATACAAATTATCTGAGCCAACACGTCATGTAGTCGTTTATGGGTTCGTGCACAGACCGAAATGGGTGGTCTTAAGAAAACACCCGTAACGAACGGTATAATATATCAGACATACCAACCAAAAGCAATCGAGTGTAAAACATTGTCAATCCACTGATCTATTTCACTTCACGGCAGGCATAAATCGTTCGTCGTCGCTTAATCTTCATGGGGGATGTAGGGACTCCTCAGAGGATTTGCCAAAGACGAAGGGCCTGTCCAAATGACGGGGCTGCAAGGCCGAAACACGTGCATCGGCTGTGCAAGAGCCTATGAAAGACCACATGATATGTTGGTTCAGAGAATAATTATGAGATATCTTTAAGTGTAAAGAGTAGCTTTCCGCGGGCACCTTCGTAATAACTTCTCGACCAGACAGGCCATAAGTGAGGTATAAATGAATTTCAAGAATGCGTTCAAAAAGGCAATTCTTGCAAATCAAATCATTAATGAAGGATTATATTGAGTTCAATGTACATCGTCCTTTTTACACAATACGTATGTATAACATAAAAAGCGTTTGGGACCCTATCATATCGTGCGAAGAAAAACCTATGGATGAGTATCAAATACTTTCTGGAACGGGATAAGGCCAGAATGCACACGTCATTACGACGATATGATCATAAATTCTGGAAAATAGCCTCGTCTAGTGCCGTTTTTTTCAACAAATCCAATTACCGCGACGTAGTTTTGAATAAGGACGAACACTGACATTGACAATCCCCATTTCGTCATAGAAGAGATATCAAGCCGGCCGATTGGAAAGCTTTATGACAGAGAATGTTGGACAAATTATGAACCAATATACCTTAACAAATTATAAACAAATTGTGAAAGTAGATAGATTCATGTCTTTATAAATTCTGTCCTTGCTACTTTTATGAATTTATATCACTCAAGCATATTTTAACCCATTCGTGACAATATTCAGTTATTTCAACGTGATTGGCAAAGTAGAGTAGTAGGTGCGCATTGGTTTTGGGAATTCTTTATTAGCTGTTTCTTCTACCATACAAGGTTTTTTTTTCGCCATACTTTCAGCACTCAGTCGATGATCAATCTGCATGCTCCGTGCACTAATAGCTCCGTGCACTAATAGCTTCGCGCAGCATTTTGCGATTTATAGCCTAGCACTCGGTTCTCTCACGTAATTTTTCAGGACTCTTGAGATTTTGCATATTCGTTAAAACTGCTTTTGTAAGTGTTTCTATGTTCTTTGAGACCGTTTACTGGTAATTGGACTCATATGTATGGTGAAGAAAAAAATTTGTCTATTATCTGATCACGGTGTTATTAGCCTCCCCGTGTGGTATTGTGCCCCTTTTCTGTGTGTCTTTTTCATGTTTTTTATAGCCATCGATTCTATTTTATCATTCAAAAACAGCTCTTCCTAAGTATAGCGCATTGAGAATAGATTTTCTACGCTTGGCCCCAATAGAAAATCTCTGCTGGACAAGATAAGGAATGAAAAAATTAAGGGAAAAGTTCTGTATCGGTACAATATATGTGATAGAGTAGCACAAAGTCTGAGCGTTGACATATATTCAATAGAAAGCGTGAGCATCGAAATTGGTAAGTACTTTCTGTAGAGTACGTCAGCTTACACATCGAACCAATGCGCATGATCGTCATATCATCGGTTTTTGAGACAGCGGCCATCGTACCATTAATAACGTTAGAAGACAGAGAACTTCAGACGTGGCAAACTTTGATTTACAACATCAAAATTCTTGAAATGCCCAAGAGGAAATCAGGACTGCCATATGGAAGTGTTAACGCGATCAGAGTCTTAGTTTTATTCTAGTGTGCTTAAGCCGTTAAGAAAAATGCGCAGTCTTAGCACGCATATGCATAGAGCACAGTCATGTTTTACCTATTATTATGAATCTTTGCACGCTGTAATATATGAAATCAATTATTTTCCATGGTTAGCTCTTTGGGTACCACGTAAGCTGTTTACGTGTCACTTATCGCGCCGCGTGCAGAGTAGTTTGCATTAGCGAGCTCTTCGTTAACATAATAGTACTTACATAGTAAAGTCTAGGCCTTAATGAGCCATTATCGTGATTGTATAGTGGTTAGTAACAAAATTTTCACTGATGACAAACCTCTTAATATTGATAAGTTTGAATTTCATTGCTAATATAATATATTGTGATGCGCAGGTCGATCGCGCCAATTGGTGGACGAAAATTAGCGTGTGCACAAAGAGTTAATATTTCCGCCCAGGCAACTGATGCGACCTGGAATGGAAACGTTGCCAGCGATTTCACCAGGATTACTGTGAATCTTATTCCTAGCTCTCACATAATCACAAGCGAGATAGAAGCGTGGACGTTTTATCTCAATACCGTAGTAGAAGAAACACAATTTGTAAATAGAATTTTACTGGTTTGTTATTTTTTCAAGTTATTCTCATTACACAAGCTCAATAATCGCCAACACAAAACATCACAGCAGAAGTGAAGTAGCTGTGATTTGTCTATTTCCTTTTACGCCTGCTTTTCTCCTCCTTAAACTTTCGTATTGCCTTTTATCGCTGTATTGTAAACAGGCTTTTTTACTGGCTTCACTCCACCCGCCGTCAACGATCCTCACAGACTTCGCTGCATCGTCATCTGTAATCCTCACAGACTTTGTTGGATCAGCATTTGTAGGTTTTCTCACTCTCGATCTATTTCTGACATTTGCAAGTCTCACAGATTTTGTTGAACCAACATCGTGCAATCCTCACAGACTTTGATACATCAATATCTGCAAATTTGTTCCCATGTGCTGTCGTATCAACATATAGAGCACTCCTTATTGACTTCGCTGGTTCGAAATCGGGTTCAACGCTTTTCTTTTCTGAGGGCCTCAGTAACTTTCCTGCTTCAATACTTTTCGCTCGTTCAGCATCTGAACTTTGCTTTTGTTGATTGCTTTGCTTTGATTTACAGGCACTGAACTGGATCACTAGTTTTTAAGAAATCTCGCATCGATTTTCTTTTTTAGAGCTGCAAGTTTGACTTTGTTTTGTTCGAGTATTTTCGGTGGAATAGCAGGAATATTCACACAAACATTGGTGAGCCCAATCAAGTGTCAACGGCCTGAAATAGTCTGATATCATTGATAAAATTTCAACTCTATAAAGTGCCAGCATGGTTACGGGCAGTAGTCACACTTTTGTTTGCTTGATCCTATAGTAAGGAGGAGGTTCGCGGCGTAATACAATGGTTTAGAACCGC